CTTGAACCACGGCCAACTATGTGGGAGTCCAACCATGGAGCTGTTAGCCATCTACTGGTCCCCAGGCTTCTCTTGAACAACACATAACCACTGTGCTATGGAGCCAAAAATCCAAGTCATTTTTTGATCACATTAGCAGATGGTTTCTTCTTTCCTAGAGCTTCTCATTCTCTGAAATCATCGTGTGCATTTCCTTGGTACCTGCCTGCTGCCCAGCCCCTATCCACAAGAGCAGTGGCTTTACACGTCTTCTTCGTGGCACATACCCGAACACAGTAAGGACCGAGAAAAGTTTGTTGAGTAAGTGAATTTTAAATGCTTAGCAATAAAGAAACCATGAACATGAATGCAAAGTGCAGTGAAACACACAAATCTGCACCTGTTCACAAAAGCTCAGGCTGCAGAAATGGTTTTAATAAGTAAGTTGTGACCTGAAGCTTGGAGAGGCGACCCTGCGGGGTGCCAGGCATGGATGAGATGACGTTTGGAGCCCACTCCCCACCTGCTGTCAGAACTCATCACAGAGTTCTGTTATGGAGAGAGTGACTCAGACACAGGGACCCGTCTCACAAAGGGCCCTGCAGGTAGCCAGGTTCAGAATCTGAAGCCAGACTTAAAGGGGAAGCAGGCTGTCCCCGGGACGCTCTGGTCACCCAGTGAGATGATGCCAGTCAGGGTTCCCTGAGTCCACAGTGAGCCACAGGGGGTGGCCGAGATCATCCTGTGCCTAGCACGGGAGGGCTCTGGTGGGTCACTTGCTGCTGAGCCTGCAGAGGTACACGATCCTGATTCGATCCAGTTCACACCAGCCTCCACTGTATGGACACCACTGTACGGGTGCCGTGGTGATGATGACGGGGAGAGCCGCCTGTGCTCAAGCCGGGGGCGGCCACAGGTAGACTGGCAGGAACAATGATGGCTCTCGAGGAGGATGGAAGATGGAGTGGCAGGGGGAGGGGGCCAGCCTCCCTGAAGTTCCAGACAGGGGGCAGGAAGACTTCCCAGGGGGACCCATGCTGAAGGTGGCTGGCAAGTAGGGCCTTCCAGAGGCAGGTAAGGTAGGGCACATTTGGTGACCCAGAGAGCTCCACCAGCCTGAAGGCAGACACAGTCTGCAGGTGCAGTCTTTATTTTCCAGAAAAGTCCCTCAGAACCAAGCCCTGAAGCCAGCAGGGGAGTCTAGGCAAGAGCTCAGGAGGGGCGCTTTTCCCCTCCTAGTGACAGGAGAGGAGCTTCCAGCTTTACCAGAAGAGCAGGAGCAGACGAAGGCAGCAAAGCCACAGGCGGCACTGCACTGGGGATGGGACGTCCGGAACGGTACCAGACATAGCGTGATTGAGCAGAGTGGTGAGTGCTGGGAGGTGTGGGCATGGCCGGGTACGAGGATGGAGG